AATGTCGTCCATGCTTAGGCCTAAATACAACACACAGTGAAGTAAGTTATTTTATTAGGTAATAGACAATGGTTCATAATTGCAATTATTTAATACTAATATAACAGATAGAATAACTTATTAAGATACAAAATACAGTAGAAAAAAAAACTAAGTTAAAATATCTTTTTGGAAAAAAAAATGAATACTAAGACGCGCGATTCGAACTCACGATATTTGGTTCCTTATTAGAAAAACACATCGTTAACCGATCGCGTTATCCATGCGAGGTATCCCTTTTTTTGTAATGGCTTTAATGTACAGTCCTTTCTGAAAACCTTGTTTGCTTTTGTAGGTTTATAGGGAAAAATAAAGGGTCATGAAATCACCTCTAGTTTGTATGTACAAAATTGCATGTACATCCGTTGAAAACTGGCGACGATGAACGTATCTAAAATTCTAGTAACAACAGCGACATGAACAGATCAGCAGTGAGGTTCTGGGGTCCTTCCTTGCATGGACCCATTATTATAATGGAAATTTTGAAATTACAAATTACTGTTCACTGTTGAATATCCATTACTATATATACGTTTGCTGTTAATTCAATGATTTCATTTTACAGAATTGATTGACGTGCCTGCAACGGTAGACATATCTAATGATACGATTGAGGTTTGTTCACTGCTGACTTGCCAAGGTAGATGTGGGACAACGAGCAAGAAGTCGTTGTGCAACTGTGACTCGTATTGTGAGATTTATGGAGATTGCTGTTACGATTACTGGACAAATTGCAACGACAAAGAAGCTCGGATCCCTTCTATGGCATTATGGGACCGTACAGTCTGTAAAGATAGCTCGTACTATTTGATTTCCAAATGTAGTCCAGGAACATTTAATGAACAGGTTCGCTTGAACTGTGAACAGCCAAATCAAGACGATTTTCTTCTTAGTATACCAGTCAGTGACGCTTCTAATTTAGGTTATTTAAACGTATATTGTGCTCTGTGTAATGGCGTACCGATGTCGGATGTTGTAGCATGGAAAGTTACTGTCAATTGTATTTACCCTAATCTGGCCCCTGAATCCGTTGCTGTATGGATAGGCGAAGAACCACTACAGACAACAACCATGGCTCCAACAACTCCCATAAATTTTAAAAACATTATTTCTGAGATTGATCGCGCAACTAGTCGGGATTATGAATATGAACCAACTCAAAACTATAGTAAGAGATATTGCCCTTATGATCGTCATCCCGGAAAACAATATTGCCCACTTGACTTTCCTGATGTTGATGTAGAATATAAATGCAAGATCTACATTGCATCAGTGTACGCCAAAATTGGTGGGAAGTACGCAAACACACATTGCGCAAGTTGTCATGGTATAAGCAAACACAAAAACATTTGCCCGATATATCAACCTCCTGCTCCCAGCATAAGTGTTAATGGTATAATACCCATCACAATTTTGCTGGACTTTTCCTCAGGTTCAGCCTTAAGTGTCGAATCATCACGGTTGAGTTTTACCTCTGCGGGAGTAGAGTGCGGTTCTGGTCGAGTCTTCAATCCTTTTATTGGAGAATCTGGCGAATGCAGCACAATCATTTGCCTAAAAGACGAGCTCCTTACTAAGGATGGCTGCAAAAAAAATGCGCCTGCACAATTTGAAATAGATCCTGGATACTCTAGTAAACTCCTATGTTTATGTAAACATGATAGCAGAATCCAGTTACGATATAACTTTGGTAATAACTTTACCAACAATGATGTTTTTACTAGGTTCACGTCATGGATACACTTTCAAAATGTATCATTCGATGTTTATAGTTCTGGTAAACCTCCAGTAATGTATACAATATATTTCAATACGTCACATTGTGACGTGTTGGAAAATATTACCCAAATAATCTATCAACAGATCAATAGCGAGAATAGACATTTGTTGGAAAATATCACAATACTTCAGGCGTGTATAAATACAAAAAACAATATGACGCCACACAATGATTACGAAAATTGTAATGATCTAGATTTAAATGTGGATATGGTAAATATCGAGAAAATGAATGAATCAGTAACAGTGGCAGACGAAAATAAAACTTTCACAATATCTGAAAGTGATTATCGAGTGGAAATGACGTTTAATATCGAAAGCGAACCAGCAAAGCCGATTAAAGTCAGCATATCAAATTGTCTTGATCGTTCACCTGACCCAACATGTCCACTCATTGCTCTGAACATCAACGATTTTGAAGTCATAGAAAATACAATTTGGATGTACAAGCCGAACGGTCGTCAGTTTACAATTGATGAGATTGCAGAATTTTCTAATGACTCTGTTTATGTCTGCTCTTTCTTTTCTCAAAACGGAACGCATACATATGTATCAACCACATTCATTTATGATAAAACCTTGCAGGTTTTGAACGTCGTTGGAGTCTCTTGTTCACTCCTTGGTCTGTTTTTGACATTTATTATTCGTTGCATTAAAAAAGACCTTCGGACTATTTCTGGCAAAATTGTAATGAACATTGCGGCGGCATTGTTTTTTGGCACAGCTTGGGACGTTGTTGGCAAAAACTTTAGTTGAATCCAAACTAGGATGTGTTGCTCTAGCTGCACTTTTGCATTATCTGTGGTTGGTTGCATTTATGTGGATGTTTATAATGTCAATATTATTGTTCAAATCGTTCCGTTCTTTAAAATCAGCTGTAGAGCATCGCAGTGGAAAACAATCTATTACAATACCTTTCTTTTGTTGTTGGGGACTTCCAGTTTTGGTTGTCGCTGCCGCTATGACTCTTCACATTTGGGAATACGCACCTATCAAATTCTCATACGGTGACGAAACAGTTTGTTGGATACGCGATGAGTTTGCTGCCTTCATGTTCTTAGGTATTCCCATGGCAACGATCCTTGCTTTAAACAGCATTATGTTTGTCGTTATAGTGTGCGGGATTTACCAAACTAAAATGAGCTC